ACTCTAATTCCCCTATCTAGTGCAAAAAAGACTGTATACAGCTAATCTGCTTTGCCCTTTCAATTAAACTCATCCAGGACGTTCTATGTAGTCAGCACCCTGAATGAGTCATTAAAATTCTCGTTCTGTAAGAGTTGTGTGCAGTGCACTGTTGTTTCTAAATTCCATTAAATCCAAATGGTCTTTATCGCTCCATGACCACTGTGACTTCAATCAGCCAATTTAATTACCTTACCAAATTGTCAGCAGAAGTAGCAAAGAAAAACAGGAAGGGCTGTGACGTTATCAAATTGAAATCTTCCTCTGCGCCGCTTAATCTAGAGCAGTCAATAACAATGCTTCTCACCTTCTTGCTGCCTTCCCGAGGCTCTTAACCTTATTCCTCTTTCAAAGATTTCTGTTGCTGTTTGTAAGACTGATTTTGAACTCCTCTCTGTGTGGATGTTAACGCGTATTTAAAGCTTTTTGTCCTTGGCAGTAAAATTTTCATTGGCTCTATATATTGGAATTACCAACACACAGACCTCTAAGGGCTACTACAAGTGTTTGCTTTGAAGATTTTGATCACACTCTCGATCTGATCAAAGCCAGCTCTGTACGTTCTGCCATTTAAACATACACAGAAAGCTTACGCCCTTCCAGTAAAAAAGTGCCAGTGTAAAATAAGAAAGATGGTGCTCACCGAGGTTCTAGTAAAACTCCAGCTCAATCAGCGGGCATTTCTCATCTGAGCTCTGGTTTCAAAGCCTTTTGCACAGAGCTAGCTCTCCCTGCTCTTCCATGTCTCTGCTGTGTCTAACAGCCATTTGATAAGAACGGTCACTTAAATCACAGAAACGTATGGGTCGGCCCCCACTGACAACTGCACAGGCAGCAAACGCGATGGTGCAGCCTCCTGGCTGGTTTTGCCGAGCCCCATTGTAGAAACATTCCTGTGTAGATAAACTCAATCCTTTCGAGCAAAGAGGGCTCATTTAAGTAGTACGGCAGACAAAACCTGTGCCGCACTTTCACGAGAGAATTCTCCAGTGCAGAGTAATTCCCTTCTCTGAGATCCCACATTAGAAAAAATGGAACAACTCGGCTCTACTCAGACCCACAGATTACGCTATCGACCATACGTAGCTCTATTTTGCAACTATTCTTACTATTTTGCTTCACGACTTCCCCACTTCAGGACAGCGGGGAAATGCTAGCTTTTGTAATGGTTTGATGTGTTGGTTTTGTTTTTCCTTTTTCTCTAGTAAAAAAAATAAAAAAATAATAATAAAAAAAAATCAATAGTAGGAAATTATTCCTGGAAGAGTACAAATCCATCTTTCCTTGAAAAGCGTTCCACCTCTTTCGTCTTAGCTTTCTTTTGCTTTTAAACTCTGCCCCTCAAGCCTCCCCTCCCCCTTTTCTTTTTCAAGATGCATTCCATCCCACAACACCTACGCCCCTTTCCCATCCGCCTGAAGCCAGCTTTCACCGCAGACACCTGCAACACCAAACTAGCAGAGAGGTTAGACTATGGACCTTTAATTTTCTTTACATCCTCCACAAAGTCTTATCGGGTCTGTGAGCTTCCTGGGGAGGATCCTTGATCTTTCACACATTTTCACCTGAGTAACTTGAGAGGGAATTAGAGCCAAACCACTTTCCCGTCCCGCTCACCAACCTTTGCCGTAGGAAAGACGAGCAGGGTTCTGTTCCGCATTGCCCTCAGTAGCAGAGACAAGGCCCGAAAGGAGCAATTTAAATAAAGAAGAACGTTTTAGAGTACTGTGGAGTTCAAAGAGCACCGCACAGGAACAGGGAAGAAAAGAGGGGTTTTAAGAAGCCCGGCCTCTTACTGCCTCGGGCGAGAAGAAATGGGTTTGCGTGAACTCAGGTGGAGAGTTACTGGTAGTTAACAGCTCTTAATGGCTCGCTCATTCAGCTGTACGAGTGCCGGCGTGCCCCGAGGGGGGGAAAGGCAGAAGCGAGGGGGCTTGCGGGACCCGGCGACAATGGGGCTCGCGAACGACTCGGCCCGGCCCGGCCCGGCCCAGCCCCGCCCCGTTGCTTGGTGTTTCTTGGGAGCTGCTGTCCTGGCTCTGTTCCTCCACAGTACAGAGGCACGGAATCAGAGAACTGTGAAAAGTGGTCCGCGATAATGGAGCGGATCTGCCGACTATCATAGATTTGGGCTTTTGTAACAGTGCCAAGTAATGAGGAAAAGACTTCCATCACACTTAGCAAAGGAGAGACTAATATCAGGCAGTTGCTATTCTCCTTCACCAGGCTGGGACCTGGCCTGATATCCACAGCACTGGCTCGGGTTTAACCGAGCAATTGTTAGCTCCTGTTAGAAACCCTCGGCTATGGTGGGCACAAGCCTTCTGCTTTTCCAGGGATTGCCTGGGGGAAGCCATTCAGGAGCAGCAGAGGGAAGCTGCTCGCACACCTCATGAAGCAGTGTCACTTCGGTGAGGCTGGTGTGATGCCTGCACACCTGGCTGCCCCACTCTGGCAGCAGCAGACACGGGGCTGGGTGCGAACGGAGATACTGCACGACCTCTTCCTGTGCTTGCTTCATGAAGCAAGGGCAGAAGCAACCCGTGCCATTCCAGGCGGCTCCAGCTCCCTGTGTGGTTGCGAAAAGATACCTTCAGAGAGAAAAAGGAGATGCTGGCTAGTCCCAACAATTACAGAAGCCGTGGGAAGGACAATGTGAATCCATGGTGGTTAATTTGCACAGGAGGAATGAGTGGGATGGGGCTCTGGCAGGCTCCAAGATCTCCCCTGTTGCCATAGCACTGCTGGCTGAGGAAGAAGAGCGGGGGCTGGCAGGCTGCCTTCTGCAGGGAACTCCTCAGCTCTCGCTGCTTGGGGAGTAATCCACGGCCAGAGACGGGCATCCCAGCCCTTGGTCTCAAGGACACTCGGAGGAGATAGGGACGGAGGGATATTCTCCTCTCAAGAAATAAACAAATGTCCTCCCTCCCTCCTTCCTGCCATACCTGCACAGAGCTGTCACCCCTGGAGAAGGAGCTGGACATCTTTCATAGTCACAAGAGTCACTGCACACCTGGACTAGGCTCAGTCCAGACTCTTTACAGAGGCAATGTGCAACAGCCTCAGCTGAGCAAAGGGGAAGACTTCCTCCAGCTCTCCTACTTCTAAGATTTTTCATACTAAGATAAGCTAAACAACCACTCTCTGATTCAAAGCCTTTCAGTTGGGTTGGTGACAATTTAAAGACCAGAAAAATCATTCCGTGCTTTAGAAGCAGACTCAGTCTTTACTGCTATAAACAATGGAGTGAGTATACCCTGTTACCTGACTGTGTGATCCGAGGGCAGTGTGGAATTTAGCCTAGAAAAATGAGTGCAAGTGGGACCATAGTTATTCTGGGTGGCAGAGTCCCACTGTACCACCTCCAGTCTCAGGATTATTTATTGTTCAAGTCTCTCCCAACACTGCTTGGCAGGGTAGCTCTGTAGGTACTCTGGATTACCAATTTAGAGAGGATGCCAAGCTAAAGGAGGAATGCTCACCTCTTGGTGGTAATATGGCCAGGAAGATGCTTATTTACACACACAGCTATGCTTGAAAATAATTCAAAAGTCCAACCCTTGGCACCAGTCACGAATCCCAGTTTGCCCAAACTGGACTGTGCTACATCACACAGCCCCAGCACTAATTTCACAGCCATGATTATGGAGCAGACTGAATGCAAAATCAACCTGGCAATGATATACGGACTCACTTAGCCATGTCCAAAGAAACAAGCATTCCTCAAGACGGTTGCTAAGAGCAACGTGCCTTAAGCACCACCTTTAGACCAGATGGAAGCAGAAAATAAGTGCTACTAGGAATTCAGCACACGAGATCAGTAACAGGCTGGTGACTTTTTAATCATTACTAACCTTCCCCTCCAAATAAAAGTGAGCGCGTGGGGGAATTTAAACAAAATTAGAAATACCGAGACACCACTCCCGGGAGAAGACGAGTTTTCAGTGCCCCACAGAAAGAGATGCAGAGGCTTCTGCAACTCCCAGTGGTCGGTGAGAGGGTGAGAGGCACCGAGGCTGCCGCCTGCCCGGGGGTGCCACTTTCTGGCTGCCCCTTCCTCCATTCCTTCCACGGTTCGCCCACTCCGCCGGGACCGCAGCCCTCCCGGCCCGCACACCTCGGTTCGGAAGTGAGGTTCGCTTTCCTTCCGTCCTGTCCCTGCCTACTGCAAAACTTTGACAGAGCAGGCATGGTGGCCGGAACGTCTCCCTCGCTTGTTTTCTTATGCATATAAACATAAATGCGCGCACGGTCAGTGCTGCTGAGGTTAGTCTCATGGCCCAGACGGGACAGTCTTTAAACTCTCTGCTTTCTTTGAAATCTCATTCTGACCTATGATTTTTGTTCTCTCTTTTTGTTGAGGGGGGAGGTGGGAGGTGTTGGAACTCATGCAACTTTTCTCACATAGAACAGCCTTGTTTTTGTAGCGTAACGCAATGATTCTTTTACAAGCGTGGAACAAGGAACAAACCATCTCTAACCCTAAACGCCAGAGAAGAGGCAAGCGAGCGGGAAGCCAGCCCGAGCTGTCGGATAACAGCGTCGCGCCCGTGCGACATCCGCTCAGATGGAGCAGAGGCGGGCGGCCGAAACTTAACAACTACTTGACAGGTTTTAACTGATGAAGCACTGTGCTTTCCACTACTATGGAAACAAAATAAGGTACATTATGAGGGAGCCACGCAAGCTCCGCAGCCTCTTAGGCATGAGCGTTTGCCAGTCATTTTTCTCTCTATTGTTATTATAATTATCATCATCGTGCCGTTACTACGGCTACAAAGAGCTGCAGCGTCAGAAAAAAACACTGCAATTCATGCCTCCGGATGCAAAATACACAGAGACTTCGGTGCCCGACTCCGATAACACGTCCCAGCTGTCCCCCAGCATCCCCTTAGGAGTCAATCCTACGTAAATCGCATTCGGGCTGAAACGCACAATGAAAAAGTGTCGAGAAATCTTACCAAATCTTAATACATGTGTGGTTCCTTGAGAATATCCAATCCACAGTAAGCAAAGAAGGAGTCTAATGGTGCATCTGAAGACTGGATTAGTTAGAATAGGGGAAATAATCTTCATGATGTTTCTATGCACACACGCGCAGCCTTACTTCCCCCTTCTAAGCCGTCAGGTTTCTCGGTAAGGTGAGAATGAGAATAAGTAAACTGATGGCCCTCAGACACGATCACGGCATGGTCACAGAGAGAAGAGAGAGTCTACGCTTCCCAAACCCATTAGCAATCCCTGCATGTTCTTCATTCACTGCGCCAAGGAGCAACCTTCAACTGCAAGGAATGGTGGGACATCCATGTTAGTCGGGGGAGAATCCTTGAGAAATCCAAACACACACAACGTCCAGCCGAGTAAACCTGGGAGGCAAGAAAGGAGGAAAATCAATAGGTAATCCAGCTCGAGAAATCGCTGAGGTACCACCACATAGCGAGAGTCAATGAACACCAGCCGTTTCACTGGCGAAGCTTTTGCCGTGCTCCCATTCTACTGCACTGCTACACAGCTTCTGACGTGAAGCCAAGATTAAGTGAGAGAAATTGAGATAGCTCCTCTCTTCTTAAGGCTGCCTGCCAGACAGCCTTCCTGATTTCTGTTATGCAACAGATCTGATCGCCTAGCGTTGTCGGAGGAAAAAAAAAAAAAAAAAAAAAAAAAAAAACAGCTCGGTTTTATTTACAGCTTTCTAATTGTTATTAGTCTTTCAGTTGTTCTGAACAATAGCTATAAGTGTCTGTGCCGGGGGCGGGGGTGGAGGAAAGGGCTATAGTAGAGAAGGGAATCTGTTTTATAAAAATCAATTCATGCATTTTAATAGCTGACTGGCTGGCTCGAAATCACTTAGCTTTAGAGCTGTGAAAGAGAATGCTGACGATAAAATCATGCATGTTGTCAAAGTAACGTTAAGGCTAAAAAAAGATCATGATATTTACATTTACTGACTGCTACTCGCATTAATGCATGAAAAGGGGAAAATGTTTGCCTATTGCACGTCCTTAGGAACTTTCCCCGGATCCAGTGGTTACAGAGTACCAGCTTGTTTTTGCAAGGTAAACAGGAACCGGCAGTGCTAGAACTGCCTTGTTGAATGCATAGACTTGTATTTCAGTTTTGCTCTAAACAGTAACTTCTGGATTTACAGATTTATATTTTGCATTCTATTTTGTCACTCTTTTTTTTTCAGGCACAGCATTCCTTTCACAGGTATTGCTGTTCCCCCTTGTACTGAAAGGTGCGTGTAGTTTGTCAGTTTGCAGTTCTCAATGAGAACAATAGCACTGCCTAGTTTGATAGTGGTGTACTGAGTTTGTATCTGCAACTGCAGCCACGGACTTTTGTCTTATGTCCAGATGTTCCAAAGAACTCACTAGAATAATTTAGACTTTTTTTTCTGAAATACAATTAGTTGTGTGCGTGTAATCATGAAAATAGGTTAAACTAGGACTATCAGACTTTGCAGTCCAAGGGAAGCTTTTGCTGAGTATACTTAAGCATTATTAAAAATATTAAAATACAATTCCTAGATTCCTCACAAGGAAAACGAACTCATTTTATTCTATATTCTGCCTGCAGATATCTTTTGTCTCCTTTATCTTCCTCCTTGACTTTTATTACCAGAGAAAATATCACTGAGAGACTTCCCCCACACATACATACAGATGAATACAGAATAAATGTGACTCTACAGAATTAAATGCTGGTGATGCCAAGCAAATTAGAATAGTCTGAGAAATCTATCAGGAGAACATGGTTAAGGTGAGTTCCAGTTTGTTTTTAAATGATACCTCTGTATCATGGACACGTAAATAAGTAACAGCAACATTTAAATTATTACTTGTAATGTTGATGTTTTTTATTCCTGAAAGTGTTTGCAATTCACAGTAACTTTCTTATCATTATGGCTTTTGGTTTCCTCAGCATGCTTTTACTTAAAACACTGTAAAATGCTGATGAAAATAAATGTACGTTCTGTGAAGGGATTATTAAACATCATTGATTTTTTTTTCTTTAAGATGGAGGCATAACTGCAGTGTCAGAAATAAGTATCATGAATGGCTAGTTCTGCAGTCTAGCAGGGAATTCAATCAGACGGTTTGACTACTGGAGCACTTTAAAAAGAACACCTAGTGTTAAAAGCAAGGATATCTAGCGACTCCTTCAGTTCACACTTAGAATATCTCCGAGAAAAAAATGCACACACAGATGCTCTTTCTTGTATTTGCTATATCCCATTTTTTCCCTCTTCTACTTTTTCATCTTTTATCTTAGTTGAAGAAGAAATAAAACTCACATTGTTGAACACTGCGAGCATTTCTTTCCTTCCTCATCTTTCATGTAATGTTACTGAAATAGAGGACATTAGGCATCTTTTTAATTCTGACTGCTTCCTGACAAAGTGAGTTTTTTTTAAATATATATATATATATTATTTAGCTTAGTTTTGGTAAGCGTTAATGAAAGCATAAGATTCCTTAGCAGCTTTAATACAATTGACAAGACAAACCCGGGACAAAGTGATCACTTTAATTAATCTTATTAAAAAAAAAAAAAAAAAGTATCTGTAATCAAGCCCAACAGAAGTCCTGAATCACCAAGGCGTTTATAGAATAACTAGAATCATAAAACATCTTATGATTCATTGCTTTTGTTATTAAATGCTCAGCAGCCTCATCACACCCTCGGCCATACGCATGGGACTGAAGGGGTTTCCTAGCTGACCTCCCTCCGCAGACGGAGCAGCCCCAGCACCACGGACAGCGCCCGGCGCGGCCGGTTCTCCGACTTTCAGCACCGCGGAGAGCGCTCCCGGCCCGCGCCCCTCCGCGTCGCCTACGCGGCGAGACCTACCGGTGCCCGAGAGCCTTTTTTCCCTCCAATCCTTTCACGACACGGAAAGGAAATTAAAATACGTTATCGGCTTCTTTAGAGACACATCTTATACACTCGATTATGTTAGCTGGCTCACTATTTTATGACATTTTATGGGTTCAGGAGTATTGTTCTTCTTATCTGCCATCACACGTTGTCTAACGTTCGGCATCAACACCTTCTCCCTTCTCTCAAATCCCAACTCCCACTTTGAAGGGAGATCGTGGTTAATCCAGTACCGCCTTCTCAAGAAAATCACTTCCTTATTAAAAAGTAAATCTGGCAAGATATAAGATGTTTAGAACTCAAGGAATATTTGGGGTCTGAAGACAATGTACAGTCTATGCAGTTAAATGAACCATCAGAATACACCACTCTAGACACCCTTTCTGTAAATTGGACTTTAGCTTCATCTTCATAGAGGGAGGAGAAAGAAACAGTAACCTTTAGAAAGATCCTTTTGTCCACCCTCCAGAATAATTTCAACATGGACATAGGAAAGTGCTCTTAAGTACTTTCATATTTCCTTCCTTATAAGACATACGATTCAACGGTTGGAGATCCCTAATAAAATATTCAGCTGGAGAAGCTGGTCTTGTCTCTTGGGGGCTTGTCACCACTGTTATGCAGTGCTTCTCAGATTAAAGTCTTTATGAAACTGTCCTCTTTGCTTCAGTGATCAGCAAATGGGAAATCCACAATTCCTTGGTTATACGTTTTAATTTGTTTTACATTTTGGACATCTATAGTAGACATGGTAGTAATACATTTTTAATACACAAGGACAATGTCCAAGTGAAGGTGGTATGAAAAATAGTATTTCAGCTACCGGTGGGGAAGGAGAATAGATCATTTAAGGCCTTTACATCTTCTCTGAGTGATAAAAGCCTACTAAATTCTTCAGTATGTGTCAGGTATAAATGGTGATCTTATGTGCCTAATGCTTCATTCGGAAAGGAGAGATGTGATTTTGATTACCTTATTACATCAGGCACTTTTTTCCTTCAGATCGTATTTTCCTGTGCTGTTATCATAATAAAAGTTAATCCACTTCCAGCTAGCTGCCACCTACTGGGATGTATAGTTTTACCATATCACTTTTAAAAGGACATGGCTTTCATTTTCAGGTCAGAGCTATGTCTCTAAGAACTATGATAGATTTTTTTTTTTTTTAATCACTTAATCTACAGTTTTGTCTTCTCCCAACAACCACGGATATAAATTTAGGATGTATAAAACATACGATTCCCAGAGCTTTGTTTTTCGGACATTTTTCAGGAAATCTTTGTAAGTGCTTCAGATTCACATGCTGCCACAGACCCCCTGCTGTTGCAGTCTGGTGTGTGGAGAGCCACAGTTTACTGCAACAACTGACCAGCCCCTCCAGATCTCCAGGCACGAGTGTTGCAGCTTTGCTGACAGTGCAGTAATACAGTCCTCCCTTTTTAAATGTTTGCTGAGTTATTCCAATGATTGTTGATAGTATCATTGAAAAACACATCACAGCCCACTTGCACTTCACTCCCACCAGTTATAAAAACCATAGGTCCCCTCTCTGTGTTATTATTAGCTCAGTCCAAATTTACAACCAAGTTTCTGCTGTGCTGATAATTAATGACATTTTAAGATGGTAATTAATTTTCAGCTAGCGGAAAGACGTTCATTCTAATTAACAAACTGAGTATGCAATAGATTAACTTGTTCAGGCACTTTTGGGTATCACAGCAATGCACTTTCCTAGCAGGTTTTAAGCAGCGAGAACAAACATTTATGACATTATCTACAGATCAGCCTTTCACCCCCTCAGTTTGCTTTGTGGCTGTGGAAGCTGTGAAAGATTTCAGGAGAAGAAGGATGTATAACGTTTTCCACGCTCTACTCCACGAAAAGTTTCTAAGGGAAACGTGAAGAGAGGTGTCATTATGAAGTATTCATTCCTTTTCAGCGCGCACAGGGCTCTCTCAGTCGTGCCACCGCTGTAGACAGGAATGTCTCTGGCTTCATACAGAGAGTGTCAGCGCCCTGGCTGGGTTAGCGATGGATGCTCGCCTAGAGAATGCTGAATTTGTTCGGAAACCAATGCCAGGACTGCCGACAGCCAAAAGGTGGGATGGTTGCACCGGCAACTGGGGCAGGAGGAGACCTCACGGAAGGAGAGCAAACAAACAGTCTGTGGGTTGTCCACCCACAACTCGAGTGAAGTTAGAGCTCGTTTCTCACCTCTCCTTCCCCAGTCGGGGGGGACACCCCCGGGCTCGGCCACCTTCAGCCCGGCGGCTCAGGGCTGCTGAGGGAATCGGGCAGGGGACACCGGGTGGGCTACGTTGCCCTGGACGCTGGCCCCACTTTCTACAGCAAGATGAGGAGGAAGGAGAGGAAGAAGAATGGAAGGCTATGGAGCCCAGCGGCAGGAGCCGGCCAGCCTCGCGGTGCCCGTGTCTGCCA